TTTGACGAGTCCGTCCCCTACTACCGCCTCTTCCCCTACCGCACTGCCCCGCTCCCCCCCCCCGCCTCTCTTCCTCGCGCCAGGTGCTGCTGTCGTAGACCCCCTCCCCCCTCAGGGTGCCGCCCCCTCAGGTGTGTCTCAGGTAGACCCGGTTGAGCCTGTTGAGGTAGCTGTCGACTCTCGTCCTGCTGCGGGTGCGGAGCCTGGGGGTGCGGAGCCTGGGGGTACTGATCCTGGGGGTGCTGAGCCTGGGGGTGCGGAGCCTGGGGGTGCTGAGCCTGGGGTTGCGGAGCGTGGGGGTGCGGAGCTTGGGAGTACTGAGCCTGGGGTTGCTGAGCCTGGGGGTGCTGAGCTGCAGAGTCCGGCATCTGGGGGTTCTGAGTCTGGTGGTGCTGGGCCTTATAGTCCTACACCTGGAGGAGCCCTCTCCTCGGAGCAGCTGCGTGAGTGGTACTTACAGTACTGCAGCCTCAGGAGAGGTACCTCTGGAGCCAGGCGTACTACTGGGACTGGTGCTAGTGATTCTCCTCCTAGTCGGGAGCTCCCCTCCCGTGAGCAGATCCGTGAGTGGTACAAGCGGCGCTGCACTCTTCGGAGTGGTGCGCCTCGTGTCGCGGACCCCGCTGCTGCTGGTGGTGCTACTGGTGCTGGAGGCTCTACCGGTGCTGCTGGTGCTGCGGCCTCAGAGGTTGGAGCTGCTTCTGGTACTGCGGACCCAGGCGTTGGAGCTACGACTGGTCCTGAGGACCCGGACACTGGTGCTGCTGCTGGTGCTGAGGACCCGGGCGTTGGAGCTGCTGCTGGTGCTGAGGACCCGGGCGTTGGAGCTGCGGCTGGTGCTGAGGACCCGGACGCTGGTGCTGCTGCTAGTGCTGAGGACCCGGACACTGGTGCTGAGGACCCGGGCGTTGGAGTTGCGGCTGGTGCTGAGGACCCGGACGCTGGTGCTGCTGCTGGTGCTGCGGACCCGGGCGTTGGAGCTGCTGCTGGTGCTGAGGACCCGGGAGTTGGAGCTGGTGCTGTTGGTGAGGACCCTCGTTCTGGAGTCGCTGCACGGTCGCGGCCGTACTTCGTTCCGCTCCTTCAGCAGGTTCTTGGTCAGCTCCCTCCTCCTTGTCCTCCTCCCTCCTTAGGGTGTCCTCCGTCTGTTCAGCTGCGGTCGCAGCTACCGTCTGCCTCCTCTCTCCCTGGTCCTGCTCCTTACACTGGTCCGACTGGAGGTCTTACTGAGCGTCGTGAGCCTGAGTCTCGTCCTGCGTCGCGTGAGTCTCGTCGTGCGTTGCCTGTCCGTGCTGCTCTCACTGGTAGTCGTGTCCCGCGTCAGCGTCTTCCTGCTGTCCCAGGCACTCACCGGATGGCGCTTTGTCCCTCCACTGCTCCACAGTGTCTCCCACTGCCGTCTCCTCCTGTGTCCTCTCTTCTTGCTCTAGCTGACCCGGGGTCAGACTCCCTTCGTGCTGCCAGTCCTACTATCACGCGTCTCCTGGCTACTGTTGTCACTGACCCTTCCTTTGAGTCCGCTGCTGCGTCTGCCTTAGTTGCTGAGCTTGTCGACTTTGCTGCCACCTGTCGTCTAGACTATGCCGCTAGCCTAGTTGTTGAGTCTGAGTCTGTCTGTCCTCCGCCCGTCGGGGGTGAGTGTGCTCTTGGCAGTGACGTCCTTGAGGACAAGCAGGAGGAGTTTGAGTGCTTTGCTGCTGCTTTGTCCCATCTTGTGTCCATGCTTGTTGCTCCTGAGGGAGACCCGGATGCACTTGACATCCCGACCCCACGCTCTTACGCAGAGGCGATGGCCGGTCCCTACTCCTCACAGTGGCAGTCAGCCATGGACACAGAGATGGCTTCCTAAAAGTCCACAGGCACCTACGTCGACAAGGTTCCCCCTCCTGGGGCGAACATTGTCAGTGGCATGTGGATTTTCAGGGTGAAGCGGCCGCCGGGCTCTCCGCCTGTCTTCAAGGCGCGTTACATTGCACGATGCTTCAGTCAGCGAGAGGGAGTTGACTTCTTCCAGACCTTCTCCCCAACCCCAAAGATGATGTCAATGGGAGTTGTGTGTTGGCCCCGTCCACGCTTGGGCGGAGCCGACTTCATGGTGGGGTGTACGGAAGGTACAGCCGACTTGCAGCAGTGGGCGACGCCGACTTGGACGAGCTGGTCGACGGGGTTGGTCGACTTGCACGGGGCCACTGCAATGGCGCCGACTTGGGAAGCCGGCGGCCGACTTCAACTGGTGGTCGGCGATGTGGCACGTCGACCTGGAAGTCGGTGCCGACTTGCCAGGTCACCGACTTGCAAGGTCACCGACTTGCAAGGTCACCGACTTTGCAAGTCGGCGCCGACTTGCAAGGTCGCCGACTTGGGAGGACGCCGAATTCAAGAGGTCAGTCTGGAAATCGGCGCCGACGTAGAACGGGCGTCGACCTGGTGACGCCGACTTTGGGTAGCCGACTTGTGTGGTCGGCTGACAACTGCACTGGTCCACCAGGAGTGACGTCGACCTGGAGCTGGTCGACCAGAGGAGTGGTCGACCTGGTGAGGTTGACTTGGTGTGGTTGTCGACTTGGGAGGTTGACGAGCACATACAGGAGCAGCTGGTTGACATAGTTGCCCGGTCGACCAAGATACCTGGGTGACGAGGTTCTGCGAAGGAGTGCGACGGTCGCCCAGGCAACGTTGGCGAGTCCGACCTCGGTGGTGGTATCCCGAGGTCGACGTGGCGGATCAGGTGGAGGCGTCAGCACGAAGATGTCTTGGTGCGTGCGCTCTTCAAGTGACAAAGCTTAACCCTCCAATCATCAACGAGCACCTGCAAAGTAGGTGCGCTGCTGTTCTACGGGAGCAACACTGGCACGCCGTCAACATGCAGCGTTGGCACGCTGTCGACTTTGCACTGCTGGAGCGCGGTCGACCAAGTCGTGCTGGAACGCGGTCGACCATGCTGTGCTGGCAGTCGACCGACCTGAATGCTAGCTCTGATGTAGTCTTGCCATGCCAAATTGATTGTACCTTTTTTTTTTTGTCAACTTTCTCTAGTGAAACTCTTGCCAAATTGCTCCGTGAACTAGCAAGCAGTGTGAGCACTAGGAAACGACTAAGAACCAACAAACGCAGAGATCACACGATCACCCGTGCCTAGCCCGTAGTCTAGCTCCCGTTGTAGTTATCTCCGCAGATGACCACTCTTCGGGTTCTGCTGCACGTCGCCGCTCAGCGTGACTACGAGCTCCACTCTCTTGACTTCAGCACTGCTTTCCTGCAGGGCAGCCTGCACGAGGAGATCAGGCTGCGCCGCCCACCTGGCTTCACTGGGTCGTTCCCTCATGGTACCCAGTGGAGCCTCCGACGGCTAGTCTACGGTCTCCGCCAGGCGCCACGTGAGTGGCACGACACACTGAGGACTACACTTGCGGCTCTTGGGTTCGCGCCTTCTACTGCTGACCCGTCGCTGTTTCTACGCACCGACACCTCACTACCGCCGTTCTACATCCTCGTGTACGTTGACGACTTGGTCTTTGCCACTGTTGACACTGCGGCACTCGCCCACGTGAAGTTGGAGCTGCAGAAGAGACACACGTGCACAGACCTGGGTGAACTGACAAGCTATCTTGGCTTGCGGATCACCCGGGACAGAGCACGCTGCACCATCACCTTGACTCAGTCACACATGGTGCAGCAGGTCCTTCAGCGCTTCGGCTTCACGTACTCCTCGCCTCAGCCCACTCCTCTGCCTACTCGCCACTCGCTCTCAGCTCTGCCTTCGGATGAGTCCGTAGAGCCGAGTGGCCCGTATCCAGAGCTTGTGGGTTGCCTCATGTACCTGATGACCTGCACTCGACCTGACCTTGCATACCCTCTTAGCATTCTTGCACGCTATGTCGCTCCCGGCCGACACCGGAAGGAGCACATGGATGCAGCTAAGAGGGTGTTGCGCTACTTGTGCCGTACGTCGGGCATGGGGCTAGTGCTTGGAGGGCGAGTCCCAGTTGTTCTCACTGGGCACTCAGACGCTTCTTGGGCAGACGACCAGGCTACTCTGCGGTCGTCTCAGGGTTACACCTTCAGTCTTGGCTGTGGTTCAGTTTCTTGGCGTTCTACTCGCTCTTCTTCTGTTCTCAGCTCCTGTTGTGAGGCTGAGATCTACGCCACAGCCATGGCGGCCCAGGAGCTACGCTGGCTCACCTACTTGCTATCCGACCTTGGAGCGGCCTCGTTCTCATCCAATGCAGTACGTCGACAACAAGGCAGCCATTGCCTTGTGTCAGGAGCACAGACTGGAGCACAGAACGAAGCACATCGCTCTACGCTACTTCCTTGCTCGAGAGCTGCAGCAGCGTGGTCAGCTTCGTCTGCGTTACGTGGCCTCTGAGGCCAACACTGTTGATGTGTTCACCAAGGCGCTTTAGCCTTGTGCCTACTGTACCTCACTTGCTTACTTATTGAGTCTGTTTGTACTGTGATCTCTATATATGTGTATACCTCCATGTTTACTCTTGGTAGGTTGTGATCATTGTACCTCCTGTTCTTATATAAACCTGCATGAGAACTGGTCTTGTGACCACTTGCTTGTGCTCGGAATTTGTGTGGTATCCTTGAGATCCACCCTGAGCTTGCTTTGTCTTGCTTTGCCTTGACTGGTCTTAAGACCCCTAGTTCTCCCCCACATCGCCTATGGGGGTGTGTCAAACATTATATATGTTGTTGTGCTTGTTTAGGCTACAGTAGGTTAGTCTATAGGGGGTACACAATTCTAGTGTTAGGTACTTGTATTGTTTTCACTAGTAGTTCATTCATTCCTGTTCGTTCATTTCAACATCACCAGCACCTAGCGCAGCAGCCTCAATGCTCGGGTCACGCGGTACACACAGGTAACAGGCACCCTCAACACTATCAGCAACAGCATACATGGCAGCAAGAATAGCATCAAAGTCAAGATCAAAGATAGCAACCCCGGCCTTAGCCAGATCTCCCCAGCGAGGGATCTCTGACGCCTCAGGGAACTAGCAACGCCATGCGTCCGTCAGGCGACCAAAGCAGCGCTGGGTGGAGTGCGGGCCTCCGCACTGCTCACCAGTGCGGCTGCCGGTACGGAGAACGTAAGAGCAGGGACCAGAACCCCCACCGCGCTGGCGTGCAGTGTACCACTCACGAAGCTGCTGAGGGGACAGGGTCACACCACTCCGCTGCTGCTGCTGGCGCAGACCACCACCGGCGCCAGTCCTCGTTGCAAAGTTGCGACTCGCTCCACCACCGCCGCCTTCGCCGCCGCCGCCTGTGCCAGATCCGCCGCCTCTGCCAGATCCGCCGCCTCCTCCACCTCCGCCTCCTCCACTACCTCCGCCGCCTCCGCTCCCTCCGACACCTCCACCGCCTCCGCCGCCTCCACTGCTGCCGCCGCCGCTGCCACCCCCAGCACCACTCCCACCGCCACCCCCACTCCCTCCCTTGCCTCCACCACCACCTCCACCGCCCCCTCCAGCCTCTCCAGTGCCCTTGCCCCCCTTGCCCTTGCCGGTGCGGCGTTTCCCGCTCGGGGCAGACGCAGCGCCAACCGACTCGAAACCAACGAGGTCGGCTGCAGCAGCAGAGGCAACAGAGGGCAATAGGGGGGATGGAGAACACCCCTCAAAGACAGGGGTGCGAGGGTCACCACGAGAGGCTCCTAAAGCGACTATGCTCTTCTTTATCGCTAGGAGGGCCTTCTCGAGGAGGTCAACGGTGAGAGTGGTGGGGCAAACAGAGAGGAAGTGGTCCCTGACTACCCGAAGAGAGTCAGGGAGCCGGGTGACTATGTAGTAGAGGGTGATGTACATGGGGGGGGGGGGTTCTTGGCGCAGAACTCAGCAGGAAGCGCAGCGCGGTAGCGAGTGTGACTAATGCGGAGGTGTGTAATGAGGTCAGCGACAGTGGGAAAGGCAGCAAGGTCAGGGAAGAGGTACGGTAGGATGAGGCGGCTCAGTGTAGATGTGGCAGGGGAAGAGTAGCGTGCAACTACAGCGTCGTACAAGGTCTGAGCACTCTTGTACTGGCTAAAGTGTGCACGCTCAGTGGTCGGTAAGTGGCGGCGCACAGCAAGACGAGCAGTAGCATCACGTGTGGCCCACAATGAGAAAACAGTGGCGTCAGCATCAGCAGCAGGGGCAGGGGAGGCACCAGAAGTGAGGTCAAACAGGGAGAGGCCGTCTGCCCTATCGCAGTGCAGGAAAAGCTGCAGATCATCTACTTAGACCTCAAAGTCCACTGCACGACCCTCAGCGTCAAAGGTGAAAACGCTAGGGGAAGCCATAACAACAATAGGCAGGGCGGTGCAGTGGCAGAGACTGTGCTCTTACCAGGTAGGTGGGGCGATCGGGCTGCTCCGCGGCTCGGCTGTCGTGCGGCTCCGTTGCAGGGTGGCTCGGCTGCTGGGCGGCTCGGCTTCTGGGCGGCTCGGCTCCTGGGCAGCTCGGCTGCTGGGCGGCTTGGCTGCACGGAGCTGGGCGGCTCGGCTGTCGGGCGGCTCGGCTGCTGGGCGGCTCGGTTGCTGGGCGGCTCGGGCGGTCAGGCGGCTCGGCAGGCCGGCGGTTCGGCTGCTCGGCAATGCGGGCGCTGGGCGGCGGGATCGCAGGTGGTGGCGAGGTCCAAAGGGTGGGCGGTGATGACGGGGCCGAGGTCGGCGACGTAGCGGGGCCGCGATGGGGCCGTAGCAGGGCCTAAGCGAGGCCGTAGCGGGGCCGACGGGGCCGAAGCGGGGCCGTAGTGGGGCCGTAGCGGGGCCGTAGCGGGGCCGTAGCGGGGCCAACGGGGCCAGAGCGAGGCCTAAGCGGGGCCGTAGCGGGGCCTAAGCAGGGCCGTAGCAGGGCCGACGGGGCCGTAGCGGGGCCGTAGCGGGGCCTAAGTGGGGCCGACGGGGCCAAAGCGGGGCCTAAGCGAGGCCGTAGCAGGGCCGACGAGGCATAAGCGAGGCCGTAGCGGGGCCTAAGCGGGGCCGAGTGGGCCAACAGGGCCGTAGCGGGGCCGTAGCGGGGCCCTAGCGGGGCTGACGGGGCCTAAGCAAGGCCGACGGGGCCGTAACGGGGCCGTAGCGGGGCCGTAGCGGGGCCTAAGCGGGGCCGTAGCGAGGCCGACGGGGCCTAAGCGAAGCCGTAGCGGGGCCGCAACGAGACCGTAAGCGGCCTAAGCGAGGACTTAGAGGGCGGCTCGAGGGGCAATAAGGGCGGCCAACAGGGGCCACTAAGGAGGCTCGAGGCGCTACTTGGGTTAGGAGCTAAGCGCGCTCCAGGCAGAGAAGGAAAAAAGTTCGTGGTGGGCCCTAAGCAGTATTCCCACCCGGGAACCTGCTCGATACCATGACGAGAAGTGAGAATGGAATGAATGAACTATGAAACAGTTGGGTACAAGTACTAACCCTAATTGGGTTGTACCCCTTATGGGCTACCCCACTACAGCCTACACAAATGTATAAGCTTTTATGATCTGACAACTGGTGCCGTCCTTGCTGGTTCTAGAGGCGGTGAGCGGCCGAGGCCATACTGGGGCAGGTTCTTGGTCTCCCGCCTTCTCCTGGTCTTGCTCCTTCCTTAGAGTGTCCACCGCCTCTCTAGTCGCAGTCACAGTTACAGCCCGCCTCCCCTCTACCTGCTCCTTCTCCCTACACTGGTCCTACTGGAGGTCTTGCTGAGCGTCATGAGCCTGCGTCTCATCCTGCGTCGCCTGTTCGTGCTGCTCGCACTAGTCGTCGTGCTGCACATTCGCGTCCTCCTGCGGTCCCCGGCACACACCTGATGGCACTTCGTCCTTCCACTGCTCCTCTGCGTGTCCCTTTGCCGTCTCCTCAAGAGTCCTCTCTTCCTACTCTTGTTGACCCGAAGTCTGACTCCCTTCGTGCTACTAGTCCTTCGGTCACGCGCCTTCTTGCTACTGTTGTCACTGACCCTTCCTTTGAGTCCATTGCTGCGTCTGCTCTAGTTGCTGAGCTTGTCGACTTCGCTGCTCGCTGTCGTCTAGACTACGCTGCTAGTCTCGTTGCTGAGTCTGAGTCTGTCTGTCCTCCGTCCGTGGGGGGTGAGTGTGCTCTTAGCACGGACGTCCTTGAGGACAGGCAGGAGGAGTTCCAGTGTCTTGCTGCTGCTTTGCCCCATCTCGTGTCCACGCTGATTGCCCCTGAGGGAGACCCGGATGCACAAGACATCCCGACTCCTCGATTGTACGCTGAGGCGATCGAGGGTCCCTACTCCTCTCAGTAGGAGTCAGCCATGGACGCACAGATGGCTTCCTGGAAGTCCACAGGCACCTATGTCGACGAGGTTCCCCCACCTGGGGCGAACATCGTCAGTGGCATGTGGATTTTTAGGGTGAAGCGGCCTCCAAGTTCTCCGCCTGTCTTCAAGGCGCGTTACGTTGCTCGAGGCTTCAATCACCGGCAGGGAGTTGAGTACTTTCAAACCTTCTCTCCCACCCGGAAGATGACCACTCTTCGGGTGCTGCTGCACATTGCCGCTCAGCGCGACTACGAGCTTCACTCTCTTGACTTCAGCACAGCTTTCCTGCAGGGCAGCCTGTACAAGGAGATCTGGCTGCGTCGCCCTCCTGGCTTCACTGGGTCGTTTCCTCTTGGTACCCAGTGGAGCCTCCGGCGGCCAGTCTACGGTCTCCGCCATGCGCCCCGTGAGTGGCACGACACAATGAGGATTACACTTGCGGCTCTTGGGTTTGCTCCTTCTACAGCTGACCCGTCTCTGTTTCTGCACAGCGACACCTCTTTGCCGCCGTTCTACATCCTCGTGTACGTCGACGACTTGGTCTTTGCCACTGCTGACACTGCTGGACTCGCCTACGTGAAGTCAGAGCTGTAGAAGAGACACACGTGCACAGACCTGGGTGAACTGCGCAGCTACCTTGGCTTGCAGATCACCCGGGACAGAGCACAGCGCACCATTACCCTGACTCAGTCACACATGGTGCAGCAGGTCCTTCAGCGCTTCGGCTTCACGTACTCCTCGCCTTAGGCCACTCCTCTGTCTACTCGCCACTCGCTCTCAGCTCTGCCTTCGGATGAGTCCAAAGTGCCGAGCGGCCCGTACCCAGAGCTTGTTGGCTGCCTCATGTATCTGATGACCTGCACACGACCTGACCTTGCATACCCTCTTAGCATCTTGGCGCGCTATGTTGCTCCTGGGAGACACTGACCAGAGCACATGGCTGCAGCGAAGAGGGTGATGCACTACGTGTACAGTACGTCGGGCATGGGGCTTGTGCTTGGATGGCGATGCCGAGTGGTCCTCACAGGTCACGCTGACGCTTCTTGGGCTGACGACCAGGCTCTGCAGCGGTCGTCACAGGGTTACACCTTCAGCCTTGGCTCCGGCTCTGTTTCGTGGCGGTCTACCCACTCGTCTTCTGTTCTCAACTCCAACTGTGAGGATGAGATCTACGCCACAGCCATGGGTGCACAGGAGCTACGCTGGCTCACCTACCTGCTGACTGACCTAGGAGAGCCGCCTCGTTCTCCTCCAGTTCTGTACGTAGACAACAAGGCCATGCTGGCCTTGTGTGGGGAGCACAGACTGGAGCACAGAACGAAGCACATTGCTCTCCGCTACTTCCTGGCTCGTGAGCTTGAGCAGCGTGGTCAGCTCCGCCTCTCCTACGTGGCCTCTGAGGCCAACACTGCTGATATCTTCACCAAGGCCCTTCCGCCTTGTGATCATCAGCGCTTCTGTACTTTGCTAGGTCTTGTGCCTGCCTGGCCTCACTTGCTCACTTCTTGATCTTGTTTGTACTGTACTCTTTCTATACGTGCACTTGCTTGTTTACCTTTATATATATGATCTTGCATGTGAACTGGCCTTGTGGCCTTGCTCTTGTGCTCGGACTGTGTGGTGACTTTGTGATCCACCCTGAGCTTGCTTTGCTTTGCTTGACTGGTCTTGTGACCACTTGTTCTCCCCCACTTTGCCTATGGGGGTGTGTCAGAACATATAGCTTATACATCTGTATAGGCTGTAGTGGGGTAGCCCTTAAGGGGTACAACCCAATTAGGGTTAGTACTTGTACCCAACTGTTTCATAGTTCATTCATTCTCGTTCTAATTCTCACAAGACTATCTCAACAAGATTATGTTCAAAACTAGTCCCGCGGAACAAACTTTTCAATACGTGTCCATTTTCGCATTTAATATTTTCTTGCGGGTGCAAAAAGCTGTGAAACAAGTGAACAGGGATGAAATGACTAAGGAAAGATTGGGTACAAATACAACCCTAGAAACCCTGTACCCCATATGTGCTACCCCACTATAGCCTACAGCAACTATGTCATATAAATCTGACACACCCCCATAGGCAAAGTGGGGGAGAACAAGGGGTCACAAGACCAGTCAAGTAAAGCAAAGCAGAGCAAGCTCAGGGTGGATCACAACGTCACCACACAGTCCGAGCACAAGAGCAGGGCCAGAGGCCAATTCACATGCAGGAGTACAGACATATATATATAAAACTAGACAAGCAAGAGCAGGTATATATATGTCACAGTACAAGTAAAGTCAAGAGGAGAGCAAGTGAGGCAAGACAGGCACAAGACCCAGCAGGGTGCAGAGGCGCTGATGGTCACAAGGCGTGAGTGCCTTGGTGAACACATCAGCGGTGTTGGCCTCAGAGGCCACGTACGCAAGCCGCAACTGTCCACGCTGCTGCAGCTCACGAGCAAGGAAGTAGCGAAGAGCAATGTGCTTCGCTCTGTGCTCCAGACGCTGCTCTCAACACAAGGCCAGCATGGCCTTGTTGTCTACGTACAGCACTAGAGGAGAACGAGGCGGCTCTCCAAGGTCAGTCAGCAGGTAGGTGAGCCGGCGAAGCTCCTGTGCAGCCATGGCCCCAGCGTAGATCTCAGCCTCACAACTGGAGCTGAGAACCGAAGACGAGCGAGTAGCCCGCCACGAGACAGAGCCGGAACCAAGACTGAAGGTGTAACCCTGTGACGACCGCTGCGTAGCCTGGTCGTCAGCCCAAGAAGCGTCCGCGTGCCCTGTAAGGACCACTGGACTCCGCCCTCCAAGCACTAGCCCCATGCCCGACGTACTGCACAGGTAGCGCAACACCCTCTTCGCTGCAGCCATGTGCTCTGGTCCGTGTCTCCCAGGAGCAACATAGCGTGCAAGAATGCTAAGAGGGTATGCAAGGTCAGGTCGTGTGCAGGTCATCAGGTACATGAGGCAGCCAACAAGCTCTGGGTACGGGCCACTCGACTCTACGGACTCATCCGAAGGCAGAGCTGAGAGCGAGTGGCGAGTAGACAGAGGAGTGGCCTGAG